AATATAAAAGCCTTATGTTCTTGTCAATTGGACAAATGCTAATGAGGCAACATATTTGCGTGCATTGATGGAAAGCCTGAAAACCCAAAGAGAAAAGGTTCTAATAAATTGCACCTTTTAGCAATCACAACAGATAATGTATTTACAATTAGCCATTTCTTCCAATACATTCAGACACAGTTCCTATGAACACACAATCTTTTTTAGCCAAACCAGTTTCTTTATTAACAGGCAGATTCTCTTGGCAATATTGATCACATTTGCACTTAAATTTTTTGCTGCTACCGAGAAGGAGCGTTTCAACATCTTGTAACAAATTAAACATGCCCCAGCACTTCACTCACCATATAAAAATAACCCCAGTAAACAACAGGCATAGTTTAAAACCTAGCCATGTGGGTTTATGGGCATATGCAAAACACGTACAACTTCCTGTAGGATAGTTCTGAAAACTTTCAGGATTACTAAAGGACAGAGCTCTATTCTGCTCTGCCACTGGTCTTCTGGGCGAGACAGCAAGTCTGTTCACCCTCTGTGCCTCAGTTTTGTCATCTCCCTCAGTAACAAGGCTTTTGTTGGCTGAGTTCATCAGCACTAAAAACACCACCACAAAGCATTTGCCTAGAGGAGTAGCTGACCTAGGCACTGGGCGCTGCTCCATTGTCTAAGGAGTCAGGAAATGCTTACGATATCCAGGACTGAGTCCTAGACAAGTGCAATCTTTATCGACCCTCAAGCTACAGCTGTAGGGCCATGATACACCCTACTGTACACACATTTAAGGTATTGGCGTGGCATCAATCGCCTTAGTATCAAAGCAGCTCACAGTCCAACGCATTTGTCCTCTCAACAGCCCTATGCACTTGGGCAGTGCCATTTTCCCCATTTACAAAAGAGGAAACAAGGCACAGAGTTTAGGGTGCATTTTCTTTAAAAGGTATTTAAGCATCTAAAGATGCAGGGTGGGATTCTGAAGAGCTGATGAAAATTTCCTGCACTTCCAGGCACTGGTTCCCCAGTAATCTGTATTTTTTCTATCATCACCTCCCTCCCATGCTTACGACAGCCCCCCATAACCTTTAAGCCCAAGTGTGACTTGATACAATTAAGAGGTCACAACTTCTGCCACCCTACACTTTTAGCACATACACGAGGTCATACAAGTTTCTTGCCGGTGATCAAGGGAAAGGAAACCACCCAGTAGGAGGGTATGAGGCTAGGTGACACCAACAGAAAAAGGAGAGGGAGGCAGAGCCCCAAGTGTTGATGAAGTCATGGTAAATCCACTCCCCACCCCGTTGAAAAGGAACCAACAGCAACAGCAGGTCTGTGCTTCTACAGCGAAGAGGAAGTTGGTGCAGAGTAGCAGACGGGCTGTATTACACACCACAACATGACTTTCATCACACTGCTTTGCCTATTGGCTTTGTTACCGCTGCAAGGTAAGTGGCATTGATTGCTTTATTCCATCCTCTGCCTGAAAAGCTCTTACGTTGAATTATTGTTTTCAGAACTTCATTGAACCTAATGCAGGATGGGGGGGTTTTCAGTTTAATAACTACATTGTATTATTCTCACTCACCTTTTCCAATAGGGATTGCTGTGACATAAAGGCTACTAAAATCCAATTAGCCTAAAGTCCAGTTAATAATCATCTACCTTATGAGACCTGGAAGCTTAGTCAGGAGGGATGGGAACCAGGAACTCCAAAACTTCTCATTTTGCGCAATGAGTCATGGTCAGAAGTAGCTTGCATGACCTTTTGTTTTGCCCAGCCATAAAATGGAGCTAACAGTAGCTGCAAAGAGTAACTTAGTCTTTGAAAAATGCTTTAAAAACCATAAAGCGCAATAAATGCTTGGTATTATTAGTCCTCTAACAAGATGCATCCTTTAAACATAGCTTGCTAATCTGCATCTCATCTCTCTTGCACACCCAAACAAGGATCACATGTGGACAAGGCAAATAGAGACTTAAGGTTTAAATCAGGGAACAAGCACATCTGCCATCTATAGATAAGGATCCTTGCAGTGTTCACTCCCGATCCTTGCCGTTTCCATTTCTGATCATTAAGTCATGCACGTGTGGTCCTAGCAGAGTCCAGTATGAAATCCCAAAGGATCCCCTCTCTCCACTTCTTAAAGCTTTAAGAGGAGAAACTATAGAAAGGTATCACGTTATCATGGTAATAATGCAAAGCTTCTTTGAGAAGAATGCAAAGAACATCACAATAGTTTTAGTCACCTATTATGAATTAGAATCCAGATTAAACTTCATTGTCAAAAGAACATATTACAAGGTGGTATTCTAGTGTTTTCTTTATTAGTAATTGTGCTAGTTTACATAATGGTAATCCTTTGAAAATGTCAGCTTTATCTTCACCCAAACTGATATGGTTATCTTGGTGTTGGCAGTCTCCCTTGTACCTAGTCTAGGAGATGTCCACGTGCTCCAAAATGTCACCTTTGTAAAAGGTAGTTAGTTGCCTTACGATTGTAAAGACAACCTTGAAAACAGGAATACAACATGCACTATCGCAATGATTTCTGCCTCAATCAACAGCTGTATGAGGCATGAAATAACCTCACTCATCTCCATTCTCCTGCTTCTTGCTCCCCAGCCTGGCTCCATGGAGCCAAAGGGCAGGGAAGAGGACAGAGCTGGCTTCTCCTGCTTCCTGATTGCAAGCTGAAAGCTGAATGTGCAGGTGCTTAAACAGTCCTTCCTCAACAGTAGATGCCAGGGTCCCCCGTGGCTGAGCAGAGCCCCTGAACCTAGCTATGAGCAGCTTCTCCTTGTCAGGGAAATCCTATCCTCCAAAAGAAAAGCACATGTTACCTCATGATAATTTTTCAGTTGTGAACCATAGCAGTGTGCAGAGGTTGGAAGCAGGAGACTGAAGGGCTTTTCATGATAGCAGAGTGTATTAACATTGCCAAACCAGGCAGGTCAGCTTTGCGGGAACAGGTCGCAGGAGGCTGATCAATTTTGCCAGAAAAAAGCTGATGGGATGCTCTTCATTTGTCCTCCTCCTCCTCCTAACATCCCCGTGGAGATGGTATTGCTCTAATGGGGCTGTGCTGTCAGAAACTCCCCACAACCAGCACACTGGGAACCCCCAAAGGCTGCTCTAATTTATTCCACGTGCCAACCAGCCTCGGGGCCATTAGAGCATCTGTAGTTGAGCAAAATACGGCAAAACCCTGTCTCTCCTGCACCTGTCCACGGGAAGTCAGGTTGGGATAGGTATTTATAAACCGCTCAAGTATGTCCCTATGCACATCTGTGTATGCATATGTATGTTTAAATATTTGCCTGTGTTTATGCACATCTGGTTTGTGCACATCCTTTCACAGCATCTGATGAAGTGAGCTCCAGCGCACAAAAGCTTGTGCCACACACACACACACACACACACACACACACACACACACACAAACTAATTGAGATCATCTATAAGGTTCAAGTCTACCCTGCCTTCAGATTAATGCATCTGGCTCTCCCTCCATGTCCCTATGCCAGGATGATCCTACCATGACCAGCTACCATTGCTTCAGGACCACTTGCTGATAGCACCGTGCAAAGTTGGTCCTTAGCAGGGAAATGGATTTGCCCTATGAGTCACGGGCGACAAAGGTCCACTTGCTCATGCGGAAAGTTTGTGCGCTTTCAGTTCAGAGGGTTTTTCTTTTCTTCTTTTATCCTAAAGAACATTTTACCATTCAGAGTCTGTTTCTCTCACCTCAGAGTGTGAATTGAGAGACCCCTCCACCCCCCTCATCCTGCTAACAGTGACAGGAAATAGTAAATATAGATGCAAAAAGGTCCCCGTGGAGAACCACAGATGAAGTTGTCTGAGCTACTCTAACAAAACAAATTTGTGACACATTTGATAAATGGGACACATTTGATAAATGGAAGTATAGGGGACTCACAAAAGGAACGTTTTACTTGAGGTCACCAGGCCTCTGGCTACAGCCTCCAAATGCCATGAACCCTGAAAAACTAACTTATTGTTATTTCCCCATTACATTGGGTCCTTTTCACTTTAAAGAAATTTAATTCGGGGAGCTGGAGAAGGTATTGAAAGTAATACAAGTCAAAGTCACTTAAATAGAACATGTACTACCAAAGATACTTTAATAGAAGAAATCCCAAAAGAAGCAATTTCTTCCTAAATCACAGCTTCAGGTTACTTAAATGGGGATAATTTTTGGCTGTGGGCCCTCCAGTAATGCTAATACAGCTAATAAAGCTGTATCATGCTCCTGGCTTGTCTTGAGCACCTAGGATATGGCTTTGGCATTTATAATATAAATAGAAGCCTAAAGCCATGCTTGTTGAATGAACTTCAGAAATGTGATCATAATGCCAGTAATGGGTTGACCACATAATCTGAAGTAATTAGAATTTACCAAGTATCACAATATATAGATTGTTAATCAAGGCACCACTTTTATTATTGAGCATAGCTCTTTCATCTTCCTCTTTTTTCATAACATAAGCCGTTGAGCTGCCTTGAATGAATTCTTGCTTTAAGTCCAATAGCTGTGGTTGGACTAGAATATAATGACAGGTCTCCCCTTACTTGTATGGTTGTAAATCAAGAACATTTCCACAGAAATCAATGGAATTTCATTAGCTTAAAATGAAGAAGACTTAAGCCTATGGTATCGCCTAATAGTCCATAACTCACAAGGCTAAATCAGGATAGAAAATAGACTCGGATGAGTCCTTCTTTAGTGCAAGACAGCATCCTCTGTGGTTACTAGTCCTGTTCAGACAAGGAAGCAAATTCTGTGGGGCCTGGTCCTCTTCCTCACCTGCTTTAAACATATATTAACCAATTATATCTCAACCATGTAACCAATCCCATTGCAGTGACAGAGCATCGGCCCCCAGTTTTTAATCTGTTAGCAGGCTGTAGGGTCTTCCTTGTGTTTCTGGTTTTGTGCCTTATAGTTATGTGTGAGGATTTGAAGTGGCCATTTGGGGAAATCCTTAGCTAAAATGTTGCAGGTGAATGGAGGGGACTGGATTTCCTGGCCCAGGTAGCCTCTTTCAGTGCTGTGTTCCCAAGCCCCATGAGACAAGTCTGTTCTGCAACAATACCAGCTGACAAGGCCAGATAATTATGACAAGATTGCCCCAGATGACACAAAGCAGAGGAATCTGTCCAGCTCGACAAAGCATCCCCTTTTACAAACAGTCATTTCTCCTTGCCACTTCTGGGTTGGGAGAGCACATGTAATCCAGTTTGGAGTGAGATAGGGCTATGGATCCCCACCTTCCTTACAAAACTTCCACTGACTTTAGTGGCAGCCAGAAGGACATCAAACATTGAATTAGTTTTACTTTTTATAAAAAGGCAGAAATCAAAAGCTTTCCTGTAACTCAGACCAAAATCATTTCCCTAAAGTTCAGAGCTCCTCCACCCACTAGTCACTCAGTGCAGACACAGACCTGAAAAAGCACTGATTGAAAAACAAATTCCCATAAGTGCCTATTTATTTCACTCCAATACAGTTGCTTCTGTTCATAATTTCTCCAATGAGTGTTTGCTTGGAGGAGGCACTTCATGTAAGGTCACAAATCATTTTCACAAAGTATATTGCAGATTTCAGCATGATCAATTCTGGCTGTGAAGAAACAGCCTGGATTTACTGCCTGGCCGTAAAGCCAAACAGGAGGAAAAAACAATCTCGTTTTAGTTGCATATGTTGGGCCAAAGCCTCAGATCTTGACTTCGGTAGAGCTCCCTTACAGTTTACTACAATGGAGCAGTTTTGAACAGATTAGATTTGATTTGCAGAGATGCTGAATGTATACAGGTATTAACTTGAGTGGCAGCCATGGCTGCTCCTCACTTCTGAAAATCAGGCTCACTAATTCAAAATGTATCCTCTTTTCAGCCATTGGATCAACTTTGGTCCAGACTAGTAAGTAAAAGAGACTTTATTCACTGAATGAATCTATTATTGTCTTCACTGGCCTGTTAGGTTGATAAGCCTCAAGCCTTGGCTTCAAAACCCCTGCCACAAACCTTGGTTCTGTTGGGAATTTCAGATGAAATCCTACAGGTCAAAGAGATGAAAATACTGAAACCTCTTCTCATCCGTGGATGAACCAGTTAAGAAGTTTATTTTGGAATAAAAGTGTCCGTATGGGGAGATATACCAATATAATCAGAGTGGTAAAATTATACCAGTATAGTCAAGCTGCTAAATTTCTCCATGTAGATGCAACTTTCTTTAGAAAAAGAGCAGGGGGCTGGTACATTGTACTTTGAGAAAGGCAGCTCATGTTTCACAACTGTTTTCTTTGGCAGGGGATTTTCAACCGGTTCACAAAGAAAGTGTGACTGTGGAGGAGGGAAAGGATTTAAAGCTACTCTGCAATATGCCCGGAGACAGCAAATCGGACTTGCAGTGGTCAAACCCACAGGGCTTCATCATTTTTCTAAATACCCATCGGGGTAAGTGTGAAAACCAAGGCACAAACCCTTTCCCATGAGGCAGGGGAAAGGTGGGCTTTCCTAGCTCCCACCTAATGTGGCATTTGACTCAGCTAGAGCCTAGCCATTTAGATCTAGTCTGCAATTAAGCCACTTTTCTACAGGAAGTTGATGAAATGGAAACCCCACCAGAGTGGTTTGTGAAATGGGCCTCAAACGATGAACTGTACTTACCACAGACACCATTACCCCTGTGCAGAAATGTGGCCTGGTCTTAAAGGGACTGAGCATGCTGTTGATGAGATCTGACTGATCCAGGCAGCAGTGGCTGATCCATTACTTACAGTCCCCATTGTTATTTTCTCTATTAAAGAGGTGAAGGTTTTGCTAACAAGTGGGATGACCAGTGACTTCTCTAGCTGTGGAGACTGCCAAGCTATACAAATACCTTGTCTGCTCCTTCCCAGGTTCTGCCTGCACCCATATACCATTTCATCATTCCCAGACAGTAAACTCTCTGGATTAGGGGAGTGTCTTTCTGTTAGCTTTTGTGCATTCATTCTCCTATCACAAAAGGGGCCTGCTTGTTTTTGGGACTAGTCTGCTCTACAAAGCTTTGCCAGGAGAACCTAGAGCCCCCCCACATGCATGAAATTCCTCTGCAGCACCAAAAGCCTCCTTTAAACCAACTCTGCCAAGCACTGTAAGGTTTCTGTTGTTGTCCAGAAGCCAGCAGAAGGCATGTGTAGAAGCTCCTGTACCTCGTGCCACGCTCCCTTCAGCAACAGATGCTTCCCAGACAGCACTTCTCACTGCTGGCTGGGAGTCGGTAGAAGCTCCTGGATGCGTTTGCTCTGCTGCCTGTGCCCAAAATTTCTGGCAGCAAGGGGATGAGGCATCTATGAGTGTGTCCCCACAAGTGGGAATGTGCATTTCCCTAGGGGCAAATGGCAGTGGCATGATGTGTACCACTGCTACTTGTCCCTGAGGAATACACCTCTGGCGTGCAACACGTTATCCTAGGTTGGGTAGGGAAGTCTGGGACCAGCAACTATGCTCACCCCAGCAGCCTTGCCTGGGGTCCTGCAGCCACAGTGATCCTGCCGCCATTTGTGTCGCCCCACTTTTTTTAGGCATGGGTTTTTTCATCTCTGGGAACGCCTGCATGTGCAGTGTGTGCAGCATCACAGATGTGTCTGTGGTGCTGCATACTGCACATCTGTACTCATCTGGACACACCTCTGAGAACAAAGTTATCATGAGGCCCGCAGACTAGGTGCCTGGGAAACTAATGTTGAACAGGGAAGTGTCTCATGAGTTTGGGTACCTGAACCAGGACTTTTTGAATCATAATTTTGGATCTGGGTGTCTAAACTCCACATAGGCCCTGCTTAGGTTCCCATGTCCTTTACTGGATGCAGCATTAAGGCATTGGCAAACATCCTGCCAATTTGACTTCAATCCCGACACGGTATTACAATACACAACACAAGTTATCAAGTGCAGTCTACATAGTCAAATCCCCACTAGCATAACTATGCTGATTTCAGACCAGTTGAAGATTTGGCCCTAATCCTAGAAGGATGTGTGATAATCTCCCAGTTGAATGTATAGTATTATATAACTACCAAATATGAGGACAAGCATTTGTAAAGCACCCCGATCAAAACATCAGTGTTTTTGCTTCTCTCCGATGTTAGTAGAGGAACAGAGCTCTGCATCACATGCAGACACTCTCATTTTCATTCTGAATAAATCCCATAAATGCTTCTTGTAAGAAGCTCTGTGACAAACTGCCCGATTAATCATTTTCTTCTACCCTCTTTAGAGCAAAAGATGTGTGCGCCTAACCCAGCTCTCTTTCATACATTACAGAAATTTGATTTTTTTTTTCCACAGTTAGTCATTTCCAACAGTTAAAATGCTCCTTTATTTTTATCATTAGTCCAAATACTTTTAAAAGCCTCATGGGAAAGAAAAGGAAAAATAAAATCAGTTTGAGGTCTTCGAGTCTCCCTGGTGGCAAGTCCAGTTCCTCAATTTCAGTTCACTTTAAAGGCACATGGTTACTCTCTCTGCTGTGATTGTGGTGAGAATCAATGCAAATTGCTCAGCTCAGACTAAGGGGTCACATAGCAGAAAGAGGAAAGAAGGGGCTGGGTAGCCATACGAAGGATTAATATGCTGAAGGATCTCTATATCCTAGGGAAAGTGTTCATTAAAGGAAAACTGATTAATCAAAGTTAGAAACAAGGTTTGCGACTACAAAATGTTACTGAATCCTCAGGTGTAAGGTTATCATTACCTTTATGTCGGTCACAGAGAAATAAGGTCCAGAGAAGTGAAGTGACTTGTATGAGGTCACATAGTGATTGGGACAGAAGTTCAATAAACCGATTTAACCTAAATCAATTAAGTCTGATATTATGTTCATCCTAAACCAGTTCAGTGCATATAAACCACTTTCAAAATTGCTAAAACTGCTGTTGTGTTGCAGATTTGAACTAGTTTCCGATTGCTTACACTGGTTTGTGTGTCATTTCTGTCCCTAGCTAGCGAGTCATTTTGAGGGACAGAAACAGAACTCAATTCCCTCAAGTCTCAGTCCTCATGATAGCACAGCCCCTTCCCCCTCACCAAGCTTCATCTTTCTAGCCACTTAGAGAACCCAACTCATCATGGCATTTGATAGCTACGAACAAGTGTACAATGAATTCAGCCCTGTGAGGGAGGAATGTCTAAGCGGATGAAGCCGCATGCTTTGGTGGAAAGGACGATGGACTGGGAATCAAATTAGGGTCTGGACCTGATGATCTTATGAGGTCCCTTCCAGCTCTAATGTCTTTGAAATAATGTGCATTGCGGACCAGCTCTGCCTGCTGTCTGATATGGGGCAAGTCATTTCCATGTTTATCTACCCTCTCACTTTTAGTTTCTACCCCAAAGAGATGTATAGTTCAAATAAATTATATGAATTAGAACCAAGTGCAATGGGGCCCCAGTCTTGGCTGCGGCTATAGTAATGGTAATGTTATACCCATTTAACAGATGGAGAACTGGGGCAGAGAGATTAAATGATCTGAACAAGATGAATCAGGATGTCTGTAGCAGAGCACAACCACGAACTCTGGTTACCCGAGAGCCAGAAGGTGGTCTTGGGTACAAGCCCAACCTATCTGCCAAATCATTAGTTACTTCCACCTCCACATACTGTATATTTTCAGTCATCAGTACATCTGTATTTCCCAGTTCCAGCTACGAATATTTTGCAGTAGAATTATTTGTTTATACTGAAAGCAGACGAATTTTTTAAAGTAGTTCACGCATGGTTAATAAAACCAATTCCCCCCATTATCACTTTGCATAACTGTGTTGCTCTTGGCTCCCTTAAGCCAAGGGATTTACTACACTATCCTTTTCTTTTTTTCCCCCCTTACAGGTTTAAGAGACCAGAGGTTTGAGCTTATCCATTATTCAAAGGATGAATTATTGGTCAGCCTGTCTAAAATAAGAGTACAGGATGAGGGTGTGTATACATGCTTTGACTATGGCACACCAGTCAGAACGAAGACTGTGAATGTGATGGTGTTAGGTAAGTCCCAATGAAGGAGTGAAATATATATAAGTACCTAATAAAATCTAGGCTCCTCCTATCATTCTGCCTGAGAACAAAAGGTTACCACATTATACTTTAGTTTTAAGTACTGATATTGTAGTGTTCACTGGGTTCAGTGAAGACTGGTATATGTGAATGAGGAGAACTAGACAATAAACTTTATTTCTGAAGCAGCTAGCCTTTGCAGACCCTTTGTCCATCTCTCCCAGGAACTGGTGAGGGACCATCTCCCACTTCGCAGGTCTTCTAATGTAGGAAGCATCTCTAAAGTCTAACTTTTACCACCACAGCCATGACATGCCATGAATAAATAACACCTGTGGATAGTAATACATAGGAAAGGAGGAGGGCAGCCACTGGGAAGAAATAAAGCCATTTCTTTGTGTGGCTCACAGACAACTGGATTGTCAAATTACTTGGTTAGGGAAGATTTGTGCTTCTTAATCTTTCTGAGTAACTGAATTGGGGTTAAGAAGGGTCCTGGCATCACAGACCAGTTCTCGCAGACTCCTGTTTAAATCTGTGGCACACAAAGATGGCATATGGAAGAGCCCCAATTACCTCGTGAGCTCAAATGAATGGAAGCAGGCAATGGCAGAGCCCAGCAGCAGCTCAGCAAGAAAGTAGGCATGAGGTGGGCAGATGTTTTTATAGGTATATAGGCACCTTTCTGCATCTTCAGGTGCCTTAATATCTCTAAAATTCAAAGAGTCCAGAGCACCAGTCCTAGGGTTAAACCACAGCAAAAGTGTCTTAGATTATGTATCCTAAGTGCAGTTTGTTGTATCATCAACCAAATTCCTTGTCTCCTTCATTCTTGGTCAGTGCAGGATGAAATATTGCCTTGATTTCTCCCCCAGAGGTCAGGGTTTGAATTACAGGGAAGCTCATGGGGCTGAGCCCCCCCCCACCCCCCATTAAGAGAGGAGAGCCACCCTATAAGATTTGAAAATCATAACCAGGGGTTGGAGATCTCCAATTATAATAGGGCATCATGATGGGCAGCCCAATTATTTTTTTGCAGACCCCACCAAGAGTCAAAGTGTAATTCAAACCCTGCCAGAGATCCCTGTTGTGCCTCATTGGATGCAGAAGCAGTAGAGCCAAATCGTTTCATCACCCTCCCCACTTCCCCTGACTGTAAGGGATGCACTGGGGACAGAAAAAAAAAAGGATGGAGAGAACACACTATCCTCTACCTACACTCAGCTGATAGACAGCCTTTTGGGAACTGTAGCCAGCTGTCACAAGTTGAAACAGCCACCAAGCTGCCCTATCCTGCAAGGCCCCAGCAAAAATTAAGGAAACATGAGTCAGGGAGTGTATCTTCACATGCTGTAAAAAAAATAGTGCAATGTATCTTGGCTGGGAACTCCTATAACTGAAATCATGAGTAATAAGATATCGCAAGATGCGTTTAAAATAAATCAATCAATCATGAAACTGAGTGCAAAGGATGTCCTAGTTCATTGTGTGTCTCCTTGTTGCAGCGGCTCCTTCCAAACCACAGCTGGAGGCATCAGATATTATTGCTGATGGTAAAGAAAGAAACGTTGTACTAACTTGCTCCACACAGGGAAGCAAGCCCCCTCCCCGCATTACCTGGCTGCTAGACAATGGGATAGAAGTCTCTGGTAAGTTTTAAATAGCGGTGGTCAGACTTTGTTTTAAGTATCATTTCTTTATCATATCATTCTTTAGCGCATTTACATGGGAGAATGAGACACTCTTACTGCACAAAGTACCACTCTGCCCCTTGGTCTAGGATTGAGGGAACTCAGCCCCTGATCTTGGAGACCAGGGAACAAGACAATGGCTGAATTTCAGAGTTTTTCTTAGACTATCTGTAGAGGGAAGGGCCCAATATGAACATTCACAGACTCAGAACAGTCAGCCTTGTGCCTAAATTCAAGGATTTTAGAAGCCCAACTCCCATTGAGATCCGTGAGACTTGGGACCTCTTTGAGAATCTGTACCTTAGTACTCATAACACAATTTTCAAAGCACACGTGAATTAACGCTCTGAATACCTCTGGGACTAAGCTTCCTCATCTATAAAATGGGGCAGTGGATGACCAACATGTGCCAGGGCACAGAGTAATTGCTCACACCAAGTCCCATTGCTTACAGGGGGTGGCATAACCTGCCCTCCCTTAATTTGCTCAAACCACATAGCAACTCAGTATCATCAAAACCAAGATTAGAACTCATGAGATCCTCATTCCTAGCCCTGCATTTATTCCATCGGACTATGATGTCAGTCTCAGCTAATGAGGTTTCATCATTTAGTGCTCTAGCGCCTCAACAAGGACATGCATCGAGAGAGACAACTGAACAGGCAGTGAGACTTGCTAAATTACTAGCCTGATTTTTCTTGTTTGCAATGCAAGCAATTGCTTTAAATAGTGTTCCAATAATAACTACCTTGCTGGCCAATGCAGTAGCATGCGTGAAAAGAAATGCAAGTCACTGACAGATTTTGGGCAGGGAGAGGAAGAGAAGTGGAATACCTGAGTGCTGATCTTTGCTTGCAAGCAGGCTTCCATTTTATTTTGGGTTACAAAGCAAAGCTTAGAAACCTTAGCCTAGTATCTTGATGCAAGATATGTTTTAAGAACCCCACCAAGAGGGTTTTAGTGATTAAGGAGAGTTCGTCAGTCTTTTGACATTAAAAGTAGTAGATGATTCAGACGCTGTTAATGTCTGATGTACCTTGTACTGAGTAAAATCATTTACAAAATATTGTACCTTAACAAGTTTGGAGATCAGATTATGTTCATTTAATAGGGAAGCCTAGTGAGAGTTGAAAAACTGCAGCTTACCCAATAAACTCTCCTGGAAGTTGAAATCTTTGTGTGGTAGGGGAACAGCCAGAAACTGGAGCATCTTATACCTAAAAGAGCAAGGCGACTTTTGACCTTATGTTCCACCAGCATCTGGGAACCCTAATTGAACAACTAGAGTCATATTGTTGCAAGCTGCTGTCATTTGTGATTAGTCTAATTAATTAAAGGTTTTAGGATGGGGGTGGTATGAAAGGTTGCTGATTTATCTTGTCTGTTCACAGGATAGGCAAATTAGTGGATTATTACTTTGAATGGAAAAAAATCTATTGTTCTGAATGACAAATTAAAATCTTCCTCTACAAAGGAGTAAAAAAGCAGAATTGAATAGGCAAGAGATTTCTCCGATTCAAAAGTATATGTAGTATCATAGCTAGTAGGCAGAAAATTAGATCCAAGAAGAGGTTTTAGCCTAAAAGTATAAATGGCAATTTGTGTTATTGATCAAGAGATATCATGAATTCATTTTAAAAGATTAACATCTGCAGTAGATAGTGACCCTAGAAATCACTGCGTTGCTAACAAACTTAAGGGTAATAATTTGAAAAAACAGTTATCTATGAAAATTGCTTTAGCACATGTGTTCAGTATTGTCATGTGTCCCTTTAGATCATTAACTACACCTTTGCTTTCCATGTGGTACCGATGATCAAGGGCCAATGTCATTTAATGGACTGAGCGCTAAACCAGCAGTCCAGGAAGCCCCAATTTGGCTCTGCCAATAGTTAATTATGTATCCATAGGCAAATTATTTAATCCCCAATATCCCTTACCCCTCCTGCAAAATAGGGATTATGTAGCAATTAATACATGGCTTCGAAAATTAAACAGAGCTGTATTATTATCATTATAAGAATGAAAATATTGGACATGCGTGGCAAATATTTATAGACTTAAAAACCACTTTGCAGAAATATAGTACCAAACCCCAGAACAACTTCACTATTGTTACAATGCTGCAGGCCCAGGGCACCCAGTTTTTTGTGCCGAACCCAGATCCTGATCCTGCTTCAAAAGTAAAATCTCCTACTTCTTGGGTTTAAGTCCCTTTGCAGGATATAGCTATGCCATGCAATTGAGTAGGTTTTTTTCCCATTCAGTAGAAATCAGTGGTGAAGGAAAGCAAACACACACACAAACACTTGCACACACACCAGCCATTTCACTGCAGCATGCTGCGTGCGTGATCAGTGTTAATATGGTAGAATTTGCTTATAGTGAACTGTGAACTCAGTCAGGTGCAGTGAAACACCTGGGTTACTTCAACGCACTGAAGTGAACTGAACTGCAATTGAGCCATGCTGTTAGACAACAACTTCATTCTGCCGTAATCCATTTACACAATAGAACACACTCATATGTCTTTAGCAGACCAAACGTAATGCTGATTTGTGGTTGGAAAGTTTTTAATTAAATTGTTTTTGACTTAAAAACTTAAGTGTTTTCCTCAAATGGTTGCTTAGGTGACACCAAGCACAGGTTTGAGCACGACGGAAAGAAATGCAACACAACCAGCACCCTCACAGTCCATGCGTATGGCAAGAATTCAATAGCCAGCTGTGTCGTTCGCCATGAAACCTTCAGAGAAGAAAAACAGATGGTGTCTTTCCGGTTTGAGCATCTCGGTAAGAACCTTTCTTATTTCAGCAGTTTCAGACAAGATCTGCCTATTGAGAAACATCAGGCAGTGGATTAGGGCCCTGCTCTGAGTACACACCCCTTAGCAGGAGCTCTAAAATGTACAATAGCTGGATAGGCTCATGGCTACTAATGTAAGGGGCACTCCTGGCCAGCACCAAGTCAGTGCCATTGCACAATTTGCACTGCCTTAGTAATAGCTCTGCTCTTGGACCAGTAGAGATTCTTTCTTGTCATTTCAGGGAGAGCAAAAGACTGTATTTCAATCCTTAAAGCTGCTCTGGCTGTCTACACTCCAGTCCATTTCAAAGTGAAGCAAGCTGTCTCATATATATTGTGCACTAGGAGCATCCATGTAGCTCAGAGTAACTAATGCACTGTAAATGCACATTCCAGCTTCCTTCATGCTAATTGCCCCAGGTAGACGAGTCCCAAATCACCCCATGCCTCATTTTACCCATCTTTAATGTGGATCAAATTCTTCTCTGACTTGTACTGATATTGTCAGACCCAACCAATATTTGTAAAGAGTTTTGATCACTTCAGATTAAAGGAATTGAGAAAAATTTAAAGTATTATCATTTTCCAGTGACTACTACAGACTCCACTACAATGGCATTAGAAATGAGTACGAGGACCTCTGAGAATCATCATTATACAGGTAAGCGTATTTAAATAAAGCCACTGACCTTAACAAAATAAAATCCTTCATAATATCAATGATTGAAGGTCCTAATTTTAATGCATTGTCCGTTCCCTTAGAAACAGAAGAAACTGCTACTGAATCTATGACACTGCCATCCCCTGCTGGCAGATCTCTAGCAACAAGTGCCCAACAGGAAGATAACTCTTCTCAGATGACTGCTGGTTGGTTCCACATTTTAAGATCTTTTCACTGCAGTAAATTAAACAATGTCAGTTTGGAAGCCGAGCCAAATTAAAGCAATCCTGAGCTTAGAGGGGAAAGATTTGATGTTGCCAGAATGAGTGGCCAGATGTGTAAATGCTAGAAATGTTAATGGTATAATTTTAATGGTATGTACTGAGTTCACCTGGACATTAAAGTGTCTTTGTTCATAATGCAGACAGAAAAAACAGTTGCTACATATGAGTACAGCATATGGCTCACACTGTGTTCAGAACTGTTGTTCACCTCAAGTGACTGCTATAGAGTCCAACCCAAATATCAGTGCAGTTCTCTCTAAAATTTCCCCTGCAATTTATTGCTAAATATTTTTAAATTCAGTTTCTCCTTATTCCATATAATTTGGATGAAAAAAAAATTGTACAGCTGACCTTAAATGAAAACCTTAGAAGCAACCAGCTCTGGAACTTGGAGAAGTTTAAATCTGAATTCATACTTTGAGGGGTGCACTTACGGGTGAAACATATTCTGATTTTTATATCTTATTTGATGGATTCCTTTAGGGTCTGACCAATCATCGATTCCTCCCTCCATAACAGAGGAAACATCTATTGCCAGCTTACCAGCTCTGCCTACCCACCAGAAAGAGCAACTAAACATCACCACTGCTTGTAAGGACCATGCTTTTTCTTGTTTTAAATGACATTGAGTCAATTTGTTTAAACTGACATATGTGGAATCCATGAAACGGCTAATGAGAGCAGTCTGATGTTCCTAGCATTGCAAAGTCCCTTGAAATGTAAGAGTATAACACAATTGAGCAAAAGTGATTGTTTTAGAATTGTATCCATTGTAGAAAGATATTGTGGCCCGATCCTTAACTGATATAAGTTATCATAGCTCCATTGATGAATCTGCCTTATGCTATTGATATGATTGATTACAGCTATGAAGTTTTTAAACTTATCCTTATGGGTGCACTAGATGGCACTGTGCAACAGGCTAAAAGAGGGCAAGCCTATTCAGTGTGCCTGAAATGGCAGGTCTAGTCAAGTGCTAAACTGCAAAATTGCCCCCATGTACCAAAAAAAAAAAAAAAAAAAGAATTACATTACCAACGTGTGCAAATTCAGATACATCAACAGCAAGACTTCCTAAACCTGTAAGAGGTTCCCCCTGGCTCAGAGAGATTTGGAAATAGATATTAGAAAGCTCTGTCCTACTGAAGTCAGTGTAATCTGTGCCTTTGAACTCCTCCCTCTATTTGTATAGCATCAGTTGATACAGCATGTAGACCAATTTTGTTATGTGTGTTTTGAGTTTTCCCTAGGCTCTAGTTGTAGTTTAGTTACATCTGTGTAATTAAAAATACAAAATATTTCTCTCTATTTCTTTAGGGTCAGAAACAACATCAGGTGCAACAGTAAATGAGGAATTCTCTGGTACAGAAGAATCAGCAATTAGTGAAGAATATACTCAGAATTATAATGTCACCACTGGTACGCTTAATAATGAACTATGAGCTTTAGTGAACTGGGTGCAGAGAGGGGCAGCAGGGAAAAGGGAAAGGAAAGGAAAAAAAAAAAATCAAAACATTTTCTCATTTCAACTCTACAGAGCCACAAGGAACAATGAATGACACAGACAGAAAAAACAGTACAGATACACCAACTGTAAACCCTGAAGAAGTAATTCAAAACTACAGCACCACTGGTAAATGTCTTAAGACTAAAACAATAGCATCATTTGCAGCTGAGGAGCAGGGAGTCCAGGGTCTATGCATGCTGAATGATCTTACTTGGGTCACTGGGCCACTTAAACTCTACACTGAGATCATTAAATCTTTGCAAGGAATTTGGATCTCATTTGCAATGGGCATCCACACCCCACAGCTGATTTTGAAAAACTCGGTTTCCTGTATGGAAACCCAGAAATCAAAGTACATGAACACAGGAATGATTTAAGACTTTGCTTCAGTGGGTAGGTGGTGTCTCATACTTTGAAGATGGAAAGTATTTAAAATTAAAAGTAGTTAATGATGTCTTGAGGTAAAGATGTTAGTCACTTTCTCCACTTACATTTTCTCAGTGCACAGCTCAGTAACAGGGGCTGAGGGTGTGACTGTAGATTCAGCTCATTGGAAACAAAGTGATGATTCCTGTTTGCAAATGCAAAACCATTTGCTTGAGAAGAAAGGTGTTTTATTCATGTCTTCACTCACTAACATTGGGTGGGATGCTTAAAAATGCCTTTATCCCATTGGTGTTCGCTTGGGTACTTTCCCTCCCAATCCCCACAACAGCATTTATTACAACCCTAAGTAAGAATTTCCATAACCCATACAGAGAAGTTCCAAGTGTCACCAAATACTGATTTGATTAGACTGTGTATCAGGTATGTACATAGCTCAGATATCTGTAAAGAGTTTGCTGAAGGGGGAAAAAAAAAAATCAAAACATTTTCTTATTTAATTTCTATAGAGCCACAAGGAACGGTGAATGGCACAGACAGAAAAAACAGTACAGATACACCAACTATAAATACTGAAGAAGCAACTCAGAACTACAGCACCACCGGTACATTTCTTAAGACTAAAACAATAGTAGCATTAGTGACATGAACTTGCAGCTGAGAAGCAGGGACCCTAGTTCTAATCAAATCTACAAGCTCAGGATGTGATGCTGGCCAAGTACCTTAACACGTATACATTCCAGTTTCCTCAATTGTAAAAATAGTGACAACGCCACTTCAAACAACAATAATAACTGCAGATCCTTGGAGGTTTAACTACTTGACTCTCCTGCAGTGCTTTGAATATATATCATAATTAATGTAAGCAAAAAGATATAAAGCCAGCGTCAACTACTGTAAATCAACATAGGACCAATAAATCAATGTTCCATAGGAAATTATGAAAATCTGGCCCGCCTGCTTTCCCTGGAGTTATTAAATGGGGAATCGCTGATCAGTACTATAATATACTAATTGTTGGGTGACTTCCTAATAAGGCTTGGCTGGTGAAAATAAACCTAAGTCTATTGATTCCAATGGAGTTTTGCGTGTGTATGCCAGTAGATTTGGCACAATCCCTCTGGGTCATGGTGAAGAAGTGTACATGGTTGCTTCCTAGGTTGTATGCATTTTCTGGGACCCCAGTCCAGAGCCAATAGGAAAATCTCCCATTGATTTCAGGGGACTTCATCTCTGAATCCAGTCTTCAGGACTGTCAATTTGCAATGTACAGTCACCAATGATCGCTGGTGTGCTAAAGTACTTCACATTATCTACCTTGTCTATTCCTTTATTTCTGTTGAACTAGCCTCTGCGTCCCTAGCATGTCACTTAGGAATGCTCTCTACTTAGATAGTCCTCAACATAAACTCCCTAAGAATCACAGTTCACACTCTGACTGAAAACCATTTATTTCTTTGTTAGAAATTAAGATCAAGTCCAAAGAAATTGGAAACAAGAATAAGAAGCTTCTCCTACCAATCCTGGTGTCTTTACTCATTTTGGGGCTGCTCATTATAGTCCTGCTTTTTATGAGGAAGCTGAAAAAAGCACACGGAGTGTGGAAAAGAGGTGAGTGACTGCATAAATGCCAGTTACCAATATTGCTGGCAGTTTTGGATGGAATTAGATGATGGAGGGGGCTGCTAATAGGACATGGATCTTGTCACCTCTAGATCACTGGTTAAAATGAAGTCTATGTCAGCAGTGATTGCAATTTGTTACACGCAGCTATTCAGGATCCTATCTGAACTAGCAAATGGGTTTAAGCCTCAGTCTACATCACAAAAGTACACCCATCAGTCATTGGCACTAACTAGCTGCTCTTAAGCAGTCCAAGTACTAAATGGACATAGTGACTGAATCACCCTTGTAGGTCAGGATCTGTGCATGCTGGGGTGAGAGGTGCAAACATATGCAAGAGCCACAATTTATTACTGACATTTGTTATTTGCACAGAAAATGATGCTTCAGAACAGACCCTGGAGAGTTACAAATCCAGGTCGAATGAAGATAACCCTGTCCCCGAGAAGAACGGGCAAGGTAAGCTATCACCAAGCCCTAGTTCAGTGGAGCTCCCCTGCTAGAGTTTTGCTACCAGCTTCAACCAGGGCCGGTTCAGACCGACCACATTTTATGATTTGCAGAAGTGATTCCATTAAGAGGAAACACAAAGTCATATCGTGTTTGCTGGGGCTTTCATCTTAGCTAAACGAACAGAAGTTACTTGCCAGTTCATTTGACTCACTGCGCACACTTGCACTTCACCAGCATTGCCTTTACCCTGCCGTTCCAGTGCGAGGCCTCTGTTGGCTTCCTTGCTGCGAGGGGCATCACTGGAATCTACATACACAGATGCAGCTTTCGGTTAAAATGCAGAGCTTCCTGAAAGTGGGAGAAAGTTTACCAAGTTTTTTATAAAGTTCATTTTTAAAATAAAAAAAATATTTATGGAAAAATGTTACTAGGTCTAGAGTGTGCGTTCAGGGGAGGAAGGCAGCAAAAACCTCTTGAATGGGATTTTCACAGAAGCCTGAAGTAATCAAGAATATACATCCTGCAGGTTGGGCACCTTTGGAAATCCCTTTTTTATTCCAAAATGTTCACATTCAAGTTATTTCAACCAGCTTCAATATAAAGCACACAAGGCCATAAATCAACCTGCCCTGGCACATATCTCCATCTTCTCAATGTCTGATGCATCTAAAAGAGCTGATGAATGCATCCTATAGTGATGGATATCCTAGCAATTTGGGAAATTTAGATGTTAGAATTCCTAAACTTGCTAGGACATCTATCACTACAATACAGAATCATTACCTCTTAGAGAGTTATCTGCAATATCCCAGTTAGGATGCATTTTAGCTGAGCTCAGTCTCTCTGTCTATACAAAACCATTTACAATTATGCTTTTATTTTCCAGGTTTTAACCAGAAGTCCGGCATGCAATATGTAACTAATGGATATGCAGAAACTATAAAGAAGCAGCCAGGAGCTCAAGATGTTTCAGTATTTGCAAAACAGCTGGCCTCTGGAAGAGAAACTGATGTATAGCAATTAGGATTTTAAAATGGCATTGTACCACGTACAGAGGCACAATGTTCTCTTCTCCTGTTTATAGTGATCTGTTCCTGTGAAATCCTATGGATCCGTTTGATAATATCACAACAGGATTTCAAACTGAGACAGAAGTCCCTGATAAAATGGCTAATCTCAATCCAGATTCCAGTTCAGATAATCTATTAATGAAAAGAGGTAGATGAAACAGGTGCTGATAGGAATCTCCTGGTGACTTATGCTTTTAATGAGCTGTAAACTCCAACAGATTCAATTTGTGGGTGTCATAAATGGGGCAGAGATGTACCAGATTGCTGAAATGAGTCATCTGTGGTCCTGACAATGGGAATGCCCAGCTAGTTATAATACATACAATATACAAAATCACTGAGAGCTTCCTTCCACACTTCTGCAGCCTCCTGTCTAAACCCAGAACTAAGAGGCAGGGACTCCTGACAAAGTCACTCAGGTCAACAATTTTTAAACTGGGGAACCCAAAGAAAGCTGCACCCATTTTTCTCATAGCAGATTACAGCACTTCATCATAAAGAAAGTGTGCAAACCAGAGTTTTGATCAACAGTAGAGGGCACTGAGATTACTGCTGGAAGGCGATTTCCCTTTTGACACAAGGGTTGAGGATTTCATTATAAAAGGCTGTCAGCTTCCAGTCTATTTTAATATTGGTTTAACAATAAAATTTGAATTGTTTAATATTTAAACAGATCATAAGGCCATATAAGCAACCCTGGTTGGCTTGGTTTGTAAATGCTGTTTAATGATGAACAGTCACTTCTGAACAAATATATTTTAAATACTACATATCACTGGCATACAATACCCCCTTTATTATAAGGGGTAGCTTATGTGCAGAAAGGACTGCAAGATCAGGCTATTTGAAGGCCTTTGAAGAAGTCTGTTAAGAAACAGTCTGCTTTCAGTAGTGGTAGTTCTTCTACATGTTTCAATTTTACAATGAAACATTGTATTTTATCAAGTGAATTATGATTATACTTAATATGGCTTGTTTATTTCCCTTACTTAAAGTACAGTAATACTTTAGGCATTAGGAAACCACAGTCTTCACAGTAGGGTCTGTATAAAAGCACATTATATATGTGTGTGTGTATATATATATATATATATGTATGTGTGTGTGTGTGTGTGTGTGTGTGTGTATTTATATATCTATTTATATCTATATATGGATATAGATATACATATAGATATAGATATAGATATATATTGGAAGATGGGGGATACTTTTAATTGAGGTTTTTTTTCCAGCTGCACTGACTGATTTATCAGCATTGTTCTCTTCCTCCTTGTTTGTAGCAGACATGTTTGTTATATGACCTGTAGCTGTGATCAAACTCTGTCGTTTTATTATTAGAGTTTTCACTGATGAGCGTTTCAGCTTCTTCTCTTAAAATAACAATAATGAGCTGTTTAGAATGACATTTTTTAATAAACTGAATTTAAAAGTATAATTATGCTTTTTTTTTTTCCCCCCTAACCTAGTTTGCATGTCAGTGAATAATAAAATAGGCATACAGCTAACGATGCAGAAAAGGAAAAGCACTAGCGGTCACAACGGTATACCACATATTAAAAGGAATTAGCCAAGTCTCAAGTCTGCCAAGCATTAGGACAGTGCAAAAATCAATATGCTAAAAGGTAACAGATCTGTCAGACTGGCATCGTCATCACTGGCATATTCAGTTATCAGTTGTCAGGTAGTTAGGTTCCTGCCATGACAGTCGGTTTTTTGCATCCATCAGTTTTAATTGCCTGGGCTCACTGATGCTTTGATATTCCAATCCAGTTAAAGAAAGGAGGCTCTGGATGACTCCATTCTGTTGCAATGAGTGATCTTCAAATACATCAATGAAAAATGATCTAAGAGCTTGTTTAAACTTGAGCATATTTTTAATTGTTGCCTCCTTCCATAAATATGGTTTAAGCAACGGTGCTGTAGAAAGTGAAAAAAGGCACAGTCCCATACCCTAAAAACCTACAATTTTACAAAATACTTATGGACACACTTTACTTACACAAAAAGTTCCCTAGATTTAAAAGGGCCTCTTCAGGTGAGCAGCCTTCAGACGTGTGCGATTGCCTTTTTGACCTCAATTGAGCAATAGATGATACTGCGAAGCCAGAAGAGGGTGCCGCTGCTTCAAGTGTCTAGTTGTGTTGTCATCTTTGTTATAAAGGGCTTAATACAGTGGTTCCCAACTGTTTGGGATTTAAGACACCCCTCATTAGACTCAACGCACACTATGGAAATTGCTAGCTCTTCATTTTCACCTGTTAAAATAAAGAAATGTTCCTGTTGTAAAGAACTCAGAAAGACCCCAGACAGGTCAGACTGTTTTTAACACTATGGATGGCTATTTGAAATCTCTAGATTTATCTCGCGAATCATGTTTGCACACTTAAAAAATGCTAACATTGTGTGGCACCCCATGGGATCTTTGAAATGATCTCAAGGCACCCTGGTTGAGAAATCACTGGCTTAGTAAAATGAAAAACAACAAAACTTAAAGCTAATTCTCTCATCCAAAAGTGTGACCCTAAATCAGTTTGACAGCTTCCACTGCACAGCTGCCCACAATACCATTAGGCGCATGCAGTGAAAGTAAATTAAAATATGTATAACGCATATTGTACCCTATTGCTCTCATTACACGGACTACTAAGTATCAGCAGATTTGAACTAATGGGCCCACTAATCTAAACCAACAACATAATCTCCTGTTACAGATCCCATCTGAAGTCATGGTAATTTACCATATTCTCAATGGGGTTTTGATCTTGTTGAAATGCTATTTTTACAATGCTCTCCCATCTGAGAGAGGAGCCTCCTTTCCTCTTCCCTGGGCTACATTCATGTGCAAATTTGCCAGCAGTAATGATTAGACCTGTTGATGGTCCTCCCTCCCACCCCTCACCCTTTCCATTTGCAAATATGAAGCTGCCTTTTGCATAATCCAAGGTTGCAAAGCCTACATAGCCTGCCACGCTTTCACATTTTACAAAAGCACATTCACTTTATCCGCTCGTACCTTAGATCACATTGTTTCTTAGGCATGAGAAATGGGCTGTTGTGCTGGCTTGAGGATCGGAGGTCGCGTGTACCCCAGTGATGGACGACAGTCCCGTACCCGGTGCTAACGGGGGGCTGGAATAAACCGGAGTGAAACATAGGGGCTGCAAGGCTGTGTCTCGTTTACGGGAGAAAAATCAGCTCCCTTCCTCCCGGTGCAACATCCACTGGCTTCAACCAGGGGATTTGCTTTGATGCTCAGGGAGCACGTCTACACGAGACGCTTACTGCGCAGTAGCGTCCCGGGCCAAACCCGTGCCAAGACACTACCGCGCAGTGTTATTAGGCTACTGCGCAGTAAGTGTCGCTAAAAAAAAACCTGCGCCAGCGCTGCTGAGCAGTAGCGCGAGCGATTGCGCATTGCGTTAGTACTTCATCAACCAACTAAGCGTTAGACTTGATGCGCAGTAACTAGGGCACGTTCGTGGCCGTGTAGACGCGCCCAGGGCACTGGGTGCAGCCTGGCTGGGAAGACACTGGCAGGGGGAAACTGAGTCCCTGCTGCCAAGCAGTGCAGGTGCCCCCAAAGGGCGGAGAGCAGCTGGCACCTGCAGGTACCACAGGGGACTGAGCGCCCAGGCTTCACCCACGTACCTGGCAGGGCAGGGCCGGGCTGTTCCCCGCCCCCTTCCCCCCGGCTCTGGCATGGCGCGGCCCAAGCTGCGGGGCTGCAAGGGGAGGACGGTTCCATTCCGCACCGCGCGGGGGGTGAGGGGACAGCTCCATCCTCCCGCCCTTCCGGCCAGCTTGGCCTGAGCGTTTGTGTACGGTAACCATGGAGACGCTACGCCGGCAGCGCAGCGCGCGCGTCTTTGGTGTGTACACACATATATGTACGTGTGTGTGTACATTTCTGTGTACGTATAAGTGTATGTGTGTGTACATATATAAAAATATACGTGTGTGCATATAAGTGTCTGTGTTCGCATCTATATGTGTGTGTTCGTATATATAAATATGTGTATATATTTGTGTGTATGTATAGATATGCACTTGTGTAGATAGATACGCGTGTGTAGATATATATGCACACACATATCTATACATACATACGTGTGTGTACACATATATATGTATGTGTGTGTACATTTGTGTGTACGTATATATGTGTATGTGTGTATGTATATTTAAATATACGTGTGCATATAGATGCGCACATACATACGTGTGCGCATTCGTATATATAAATGTGTGTACATATATATATAAATGTGTGTACGTATATAGATGTGTAGATGTATATATGTACACACATACATATCTATACATACATACGTGTGTGTATGCATATATATGTCTGTGTATGTATGTTTGTGTGTATGTGTGTGTACGTATATATAAATATACATGTGCATATAAATGTGTGTATGTGTGTGCATCTGTGTGTGTGTTTGTATATATAAATGTGTGTGTACAGATATATAAATATGTGTGCATATATAAATGTGTGTGTATATAGATGTGTGTATAGATATATATATGTACACACATACGTGTGTGTGTGTGTGTGTGTGTGTGTGTGTGTAGCAAGATTTCCTACCGGCACTAGAGTAAAACTGGCTCGGGTCTTGGCGGCGTCTCCGCTGTCCGCAGGGTCCTGAACAAAAACAGTGAATTGGCCAGTTTGATACATTTCTCCTTGGCACACCTTCAAATAAAAAACCGGTAGAGAGGTCTGTCTGTATTTGCCAAAAGACAAAAGCTTCCTAATTGAGATTTCAAAGGCCTTTAATTTAGGTCAGTCTCATCCCCACTTTACAGCTGAGGTGTTGGAGGCACAGGCAGGTTATTCATTTGCTGAAGGATACACCGACCGTGGTAAAGCCAGAAACAAAATCTAAGTGTACGGATAAGTACCGTATTCATTGTACCGCCCTGGTTTTTATCAGGTCACATTTGTTAAGTGATCGTTACAACCATAAGAGCTCGGAGCTTTTTAAAAGAATAAATCCTTAAATTCTGAGCAAATTGATGAGTGAGTTTGTGCAGCGTATGGTGGAAAGATTTTCATTCATCACTAGTGAGTGAGTAAATGGACATAGCAAGCACTGCACTGTGTTAAAATGGAGATAAAACTACTGGTTTGTAAGTCTGTACAGACAAAATGATTGATGAGTCTTCTCTCCACAGCTTATGCATAACCTCCCATTATAGGTCTGCTGTTATATAAAGTATAATCAATAAAAGAGGACAGTTATAGGTACCATTAGCATGTTAATAAAATGCTTGGTGAGAGTTTAACTTTACCCCTGGGAAAATATATGTGCATATTTAATGATGTACATTAAAATGAACCTAGTGTTATATAAAAACATTTTTTGGTAAAATTAGACTTCCCTCTTTTGTTGCTTTATTATAACGTTATCCTACATCATGCATTCAAAGTATTTTGTAAATACAGAGTTAAGTTGCTGGCTGGTTTTCTTTGTTGTTGTTTTTTAAATATATATAATATTTTTTCATATATAATGTAACTGAAACTCTTATTTGGTAACCACACTCATATGAAATATTAGCTGACCACGCAAGAGTCAAGACTTTAAACACTTTCACACATGCTTAAACATGACTATGAGCAGTCCTATTTAAAATCACTGGAATAATTCAGGATCAGGGTTTTAGTATCCAGGATTGTAATTCAGGATCAGGGCCTTAGTATCACTGGTTTCCCACCATGTAAAGTACTGCTCAGTTCAAGTGGTAGAACTGATCACTTCAGTATTTAGGAATAAAAGCATTGCTTCAAAACATGCAAACTAGGTTACTGGCCATTTAAGTCACTGATTCCCAGCCAGGGCGCCAAGGCACCCTGAGGTGCCACAAGATCTTTTGAAGGGTGCCTCCAAGTGCAAGGAGATAAAAGTACAGATGCAAGCTTATCCCTGCTGGCCGCTTCCCCATCCCACTGCCCAGCCTCTATGCGAGGAGGTAAGCAATATAATAAATCAATTAGTTTTTTAAATGAGGTGCTACTCAAGTCATAGAAGTTATGGATGGGTGCCGCAGGTCTATATAGTTTGAGAACCACTGATTTAAGCAATAAACGGCTCTTCTAGATATTTAACTTAACTGTCATTTTCTTTTTCAGTGGCCAAGCTGTTTACATTTAGTGTCCTAGTTCCATGAACACTTCACATGTGACTCCTATTTTCCCATTATTTCCTTTCTAGACATTTGCAGCATGAATAGTAGCAGCTTAGCTCAAAGGACATTCCTCCAGCCACACTTCTGTCATGCTGGTTTCAAAGGGCCATCTTTAACTGGGGGAAACTGCCAACCAAGTCTAAACGACTCGCAGGAGTCCGACCGTGAATGCCTGACACAGGAGATAGAATATCAGCGTGAACTTCAAAAGCGGATTTCCAACAATGAAGAACTATTAGGCCTGTCTGCTGATGAGCTAGAGAATGACAGCTTAGAAGAAGATAGCTTGGAAGACACAAGTGTGAATAATCCAGAATCAGCAAACCATGGCAAAGTACTTTCAAGTGGGAAAGAATATGGAAAGCAAAAGAGCAATAATAACAAAAGGTAAAGGAATGTGTTTTTAGTATATGGACAGAATAAGCCTGACATCTTAGTGCTAAGGCCTCCTTAAGTCAGAGAGTACATTGGACAGCTTTAGACCTGCCTACAGTGCCTTTATATAGCAGAATGGGGTAAAGGAGTTCAAGGACTAATCTACCTACAAAAAAAATTAGTAATGCACAATAGTCTTAGACAGTTAAAGCAGTCTAACCCCTCCCAGCTTATGTATAAATGCTTTTCTACCCATAACACTACATTGACCCAAAGGGTTGTACCACTTTACCTACTAGTATTGGAGTAGGAAAAATAATAATAATAATAAAAGAAATACCGAGCTAGCTATTAGCGTGAATAAGAATGCAGGAGGAGGTGTTTTGAAACGTAGCACACTATATAAACTTACTCCTTTAGAAAAGGTGGGAGAGCAGCCATCCTTTGTTCACTGAAGATATGATTTTGGGTAGGAATTCAAAGCCACAAGTAAAAGGGGAAGGGGAAGAATTTCTCTTACACTCATGTAGGAGCATCAACCGAAATACTGAGACCGGCTATGCTAAAATAAATAGGTGCCATTTGACACAGGGTTGACACAGAGAACATAGTCATTTTCTGCTGGTACAGGTCCTGGAAAAAATAGAGACCCTTCCTTTCCGTGAGCTTCATCCACAGACCTCCTCAGTCAATGGAAAGCATCTCACTGATAATTAAAAGCTTTGCCACATCCCCTAAAGCCCATAGCATCATGCACTATGCACTTTTTTTCAAGCCTGCTAGTTGGTGACAATTTTCTGCAGGCTCTTGATAAGCTATGTGAAAAGAAGCCACATCCTAGGAAATAATGCTGCTCTGTAACCAAAAAAGCTTCCAGTAAATAAAAGAAAAAAAGATAGTGAAACCCTGTTGGGTTGATGAGACGCATTTCTATTCAGTAACTATATAAACGCAAAAATTAAAAATTCTAGGCCGACTGTTTGTCACCCTCACACGCTCTTAAAATGGCATTAACTTTCTACATAAAATAAAATTGAATTTGCTGTCATATGCATAAAAGGCTTAATGCTGTATAAATTGGTGAATAATTCTTGTGTTTAAAAGGATTAAATTAAAGCTGAAGCAATAATAACGTGCAGTTTCAATTTAACTGTCTACTTAGAATAAAATGGCAAACAAATGAAGGCTAAATGATTAATAGCATGCTTTTATTCACCTCCTCAACAGGCAAAATGGCCAGTTATGGAACATTTTATTGTGAGTGCAAAGGATGTTAATTGTACTAGAAACATGCTCTAATTTTAGTAATTTTTTGACTGAATACTATGTTGAATATGAGGCTCTTCATTAAATGGAAATTTTATTTTATTTTGTTTGAACTTATCACAGTAAGTACTCAAATATAGTCCATTAACTGGAGCAAATATCATAGCATATGCATATGAAACCCCTCTCGCTACATCCATTACTAACCCAGGAATTTGAAGAGGAAACACTGCATCTGTTGTCTATCCACTACACTTTTGTTGACGAGCACAGAGTCCATCTAACCTTTATATCAAACTGGGGAGAGGAATAAGAGGTGCACTTTTTGTCTGCAGATGATTAGAGATGAAGGAGGCTCTTCACACTCATTTTGTTCCAGTGTGGTGACCTGGACTACATAATACAATTGAGCCGCTATGCACACATTTCAACACAATAGAGCTCTTGAGAATTATATTCTGTTATCTGAATCATTACAATCGTTTCCAACAAAATATTACATATTTCTGTGCATATGTCGTTTCAGAAATATGGTCATCTAGGTATTCTTATATAGGATTTATGTTTTTTTATTACTAACAACAACATTTTAAGCCCCACTATTGCTGCTTCACTGGTATAAATTGTAAGGAATTTTAACCATAAGCTCAAGTACTCAAGATACCAGGTCACTGACACTTATCTGAAAGCATCAATATAGAACCAGACTGTATTTATTATAATTTATTATTTAGGTCAGACTATATATTAAAGGAGCTTTTGTAGTGGGTTGGGAAAGTGTTAATGAATGCTAAATGTATAGGTAGTAGTGTTACTGGTTTTTACAGAGCCCAACAGGTCAAGAGAACGCTTATAACCACGGCATGAAAGCCAGTAGAAGTTGGGTGCTTCTCTTAACGCTCCTCTGAAAAAGCCACCCTTTGTGGCAAGCTGCCCCTAACACACGATTCATATTTGAGTCACTTATAACAGAAAAACTGCTGAGCAGCAATTTGGATTCCTCTCTCCTTTTTAAAAAAAAAAAAATCATCTTCTGGTCAGGGTGTGCTTAACCTGGGCACACAACTTAGTTTCATCTCCACCAGCCAGGATCCTACCTAGAAGGTCCGTCTTCCAGTTCCTCCAGAATAGGTACCTTGCTGTTGTGTGGCAATGAACAGAGTACTTTCAAATCTGTAGGTTGTTCCCCCTTGGGTGACCAATACTCTTGAGGTTGGAGGGACAACTATACCAGACAGCAAGACCTCTGAGAGCATTATATTTGCCATTTATCTTCCACAGGCAAATCTATTTGATTTGCCTTTTATGAATTATGCCCTGTTGACTTAAATTGCAAGAAACAACTAGTTTCACTTTCGTGACAGCTTTTGTTGGTGCTTTTCTGCAAGTACCGCAATTCGTTTATGCTGGGATAAGATTTTATTGTCGGATCAATTCATGCTACACTTAATTAGTATTTGGTGCTAATTAACATTTACATATGAAGAAAATGGGCTTCCCAGATTCTGAACTCAAAAAATTGGATGCAGCTGCTTGGTTTCTGATCGAGCAAAATGTCGCACAAGTAACTACATACATGCAGGGTGCATCTACACATGAGCTTAACTGCGTAGTAGACTAATGTGCTGCCCAACACCGCCTTCCAGAGCCCAGGACTGCTTCGCCCCAGCTAAAACTGCTGTGGTCCCAAGCGCAGCGTCTGCACGTGTGCCCTGGATTGCAGCAGTTTGAGCATCTACACATGCCATTAAGGTGCCATGATAAACTCTGGCGCAAACTGTATCTGTGTTTATCGTGTTGCCTTAATGGCACATGTAGATGTACCCACAGAGCTCTGTGGGGCTGCACACAAGTGGAAAGTACTGCAGAAATGTGTGCATAGGCTGGAACGCCTCACTGAATTCCCCAGAATTTATTCAAAACTCTGATTAAATGCTCATTTTCAAATATTAATATTTCTATTTTGGTTTTATAGCAAACAGCAATCTGTGGACAGATATTGTCACCTAAGATACAATCCTAACTGGAAGATGATAAAAGAGGGAGGAGAATTGTCTGAAGTGCAAAGAACAAGCCAAACGACAGAGAAAACTCCACAATGCTCCTCTGGTGATTTTTCTTACCTCCCTTCCAAAGGCATCTTAGACAGGATCTTGAAAGAAAATAATCAGCTGGTAGAAGAACCACAAAATATATCACCTGAATTTAATGCAGAATTATTAAGCCCTGATGATCAAATTGTTAGTGTCAGCAGAGAGCCTTTTAGATTACATACAGAAGGAAAAAAAACAGAAGATTGTCAGCAAAAAACCAGTTCTGGTACATACAGTGATGTTTCCTTTCTTCAATCTGGACAAGTTAAGCAACAGAAAGCAAAAAAAGACTTTGTGGAAAAAAATAAACTTACTTTGGGACTGGCAGCAAACATGCACAATTCATATCTTCAACTACATAGTAAAAAGCAAGGAGAAGTTCTTCATGAGCAGGTAGGCAAATGCACTTGATTCAAAACATCTTCTAATGTGGTATGACATGATAGTCATCTAATCATTTGAATCTCTATCAAATCGCTTGGTTTTACAGGGGGATAAATAGATTTCCAGTCATTCACAACATAAGGGATCATTCATTTTCTTGCAAGTATCTTCTCTGCCATTTATAGAAAAGTGTAGTGTGCTATTTGTATCCCCACCTGTAGACTTGTCATGGTCTCCAGTTGTACCACATGCATTCTCTAGGGATGACTATGTCTCCTGTAGAGAAGCTAAGCCTTCCTTACCCGATAGCAGTCAACTAAATGCTAGGCAGCCATGGTAGGTCACAGGTGCAGCGTGGAAGTAGAAAGAAGAATGGTTTTCCTCTAAGCACATCCATGTGGCCCAGGACAGGATTTGAATCTTAGAGGGATCCCATGGAGGACTAGGATCTATCCCCCTGGATCTTACAGGCAACTTTCTTGTGAAAATGCCAATCGATTTAATTAGATACATCAGCCAAGACACTGAGAAGGTTGCCAGATCCAAAGTCCTATACCTTGGGATCAAGCTACCGACGGCACGGGTCATTTAGTGCAAATGCTGCGCTGTCATTCTTGGAAAGCAAGTTCCAGAAACCAGTGAATGCACTAGAGGATATCAACTGCTGTAACAAATATAAGTGGACAATTTGTCTCTTGTTGAATGGTTTCAGAACTGTGCGCAAGATTTCAGCTTTTTGCAGGAAGGTTCCTAGATAGAGGTTTTTTTCCCCACCTCCTTCCTCATGTATATTTTTTAAACTCCTAATTTTTCTTGATAGTGATATTTTCTATCCAGTGCAATTAATTGTTCATCACATCTTGTTAAATGATTCATGTTTATATTGTGCTGGAATTTAACTAGCTTTGCTTACATCAATCTGTTAACAATGAGCCTTAATAATAAATGCTGCACATTGTCATTATTGGTAACAAACATTAATCTTACATCATGCAAGTACAAATGCTTCTGATGGCAGAGCTTCTATAACAGACTTTTTTAGAAGAAAAATAAAAATGATGCTAGTATTTAGAATAAAGTTTGGTATGAGCAACCCAAATTGCTTTAATCAAAAACAATATTAATTATAAAGATATGCAATTTAAAATCTAGAAAAAATATATATAGTGAAGATACAGTCTGGGTGGATGTACCCACACATTTGTTCATCAGTGACATTTAGTACAGGCTTTCCAAAAAAAGAAAAAGGTGGGGTGGGGAGGTAGTTTACATTTTGTGTTTCCAAAAATATGACACACCAAGCTTGATTTTTCAAGGGTGCTGAGTATTTACTATTCTATTTCAAGTCAGTGGAAGCTCTGGTATGTAGGATCTTGAAATGAAGGGCCTAGTTTTAAAGTTCTCTCAAAAATTAGACAAAATGAGGTTTTGTTTGAAAACACTGGTTCATTATACTATATGATATTCATTATACTATACTAAGTGTTGATTCACTATACTATAATGGGAAGGTGGAAGTCGTGTAATTATGCTTTTAAGTTATAGAACAGGTAGATAACACTCCAACATAGCTAGAAGAACAAATGTTTTTAAGAGATATTCATTAGCCTTATAAAAATCTCTCTCATGCAAACACTAGAGGGCACCTGCTGTATGTATTAAGATCAGTGGATTAGTGGACAAGACCTTGCTTGTGGAGTTGTTAAGAGTATTCATTTTTTTCATCCATGATTCAGTTGATCGTAAAAATCATTGCTATAAATTGAAGTTAATTAAAGCTTGTGTTGATATGACTGCATTGGCTTATGAGGGAATTCTGAAACTTTACAGATAGTAACTTTTGTGAGCCTTGTGTTAGTGCCTGCGTCAGCCTCGTAAAGGATATGTAATATAACCGTGGTCTCTGTGCCCCAGTCTAACAAGAACATGCACTGGCAAGGCCCGGCGCTTCCAGCAACCCTGGGAGTGGAAGGATACCCCATCCCGCTCACAGGCAGCCACTTCATATCTTCCCTTTAATAAACTGACTGACCTGCATCTTTAAAAAAAAGTTTTTTGCCTCTGTCACCACTTCTATTGAGAGGCAGTTCCACAGCTTCATTCCTCTAATGGTAAGAAACCTTCCTCCACTTACAAGCCCAAATTTATCCATGGCCAGCCTTGCACCACTATTGCCCTTTAGCCTGTACTTCGTTTTTCTCCCTGAGGTTTAGCCCCCTGAAGCATTTATAAAGAGCAAGCGTGTCTCCTCTCAGCTTTTGTTTTGCTAAGCTCAACAAGCCAAGCTCTTGTAAGATAAGCTCTCCATTCTCCTGATCATCCTAGTAGCCCTTCTCTGCACCTGTTCCAGTTTGAACTCATCTTCCTTGAAGGTGGCTAAGCAGAATTGTACACAAAATTTGATGCAGCCTCACTCTGCATGTATTTATCTTACACGAAAGGAGAATTGGGGCCCAAAGCCACTGAACATGGATCAAGAAACTCTGTATCAAAGCAGCCTAAAAGCAAAGATAATTCCATAGACTAGACAGTAGCAAACAATCATCAAGTGTGACATGGTGCCTCCCTAAACCTTAAAGGTGCATCTGAGCTTCACATGAAGCAGCCATTTAAGAATGAAAGAGCTGGGGAAACCATTTGCTACACATAAGAAAAATAATCTGACCTGTGGTTTATGAAGTTGAATTGAACCATCAATACACATTAGCTAAGTGTTTTGTCAACTGAAGCAGCTAACTTGGAACATCAAAAAACAGTACGGATACAAAAAAAAAATGCTACATCACACATCTTCTCTAGAGGCCCATAGTTTAGATATTGTGCCTCTATAAACTGGTTCATTTCCTGCCCTTCATCAAGGAAGCACCATCAACTTCATTACATTAGCCACACAGCTGGCACTGAAGTAGAGTATGCATAAAATAGTATTGCATTATGAAGAAAAGCACTTTTCAAATAACTTCGCTAAACCTTCTTTGTATGGGATAAGATAGTGAATGTGTGTTATTGAAGAAAAATTTCACATTTTTGCAGGATTTGCAGCTTATTAAGTCTGTGAACACAGGCAATGAGCTACATGTACCCAAACATCTTGTAAAGGTGCACTTATGGGTTGATGTGTGCGCTCACTAATTCATATAGCATTTTATAAAGCATCAACTTTTTTGCAGTGCTGCCTGATTCTCTAAAAACCTGATTGATGAGTTTCTTTGAGAAAAAGAAGTAGCGGCCCAATCTAGCTCAGCTGTACTCAGTACGAGTTGCTTCCCTACCTACAAACCCCTTACTTCAAAGCAAGGAACATAATGTACAATTTTTTAATGGCTCTAGACCAAGGCACTCAGACTCTCTGTGCACTGCGCCTTACCTCGGTGTAAACACCTAATCAAGATTGCCTGCGCTTCAACAATAGCAGCCAAATGCAATTCGAGAACCACAAGCCTTTGAAGTCCTCACTGCAAAGGCCGGTTTTCTAGTCTGGGATAATGACATGCCATGATTGCTGTCTTTGTTGTATCTTTTCAGTAGAGAAGCAATTATGGGCCTCAATTTAACAGAATAGACATTACACAGCTTATGATGCTCAAAATGCAATTTCATTTGATCATTTTCTCAATTTGATTGGTATTAATAGAATAGTTCACAAAAAATGCTGGCAGAGGTTGTGTCCTGTTCCTCTTTCAAAGAGATAATGTAGAAGTATGCTTTACCTGCCCGGTAAATTATTGATACTGTGAGCCAGTGGGTTCCACCAAAAACGTCTCACCAGTGAAAAAGCTGTGTGCCTGTATCTGCTCTTCTGAAGGGAACCAGGGCAGTGGCTTCTTAATTTATTAACTTCATTGCTTGCAGATCTTTCATTACCATTTGGGGGAACATGACTCACCTGAGATATCTCATCTGCCCTTTTAGGCCTTGGCTTACAAATGTATTAGACACCCATCTCCTGTATGGGATCTCACCTCCCACCAATTTAACTGAGATGGTTTCCCTAGTTAGTAATTCACCTGATCACAAAAACTTTCTCCCACTGACTTCTGCCAAATTAGCCATACCCACTCATCAGTGGTGCCCAGTTAGCTCTATCACAGGCAAATGGCTTAGCACTGCAGCTAGGCAGGTCATCATCGCAACAACTCTAGAACTGGCCAAGTAGCCAAATATTTGGCAATGGTCATCTTCTTATGGATCATGGAATGCAACATGCAGAAGTAAATGGAGTAAGAGACATATGGCTATATTATCTCAAAATGTTTCTTCCTTTGTTTTAATGTGGTTTATGTTTTGTTTTGGCTTTCTCTGTGGCTTCCCTCCACCGCAGTCTGTGCATTTCCTGCATCATACTGCAGGGGCAATTTGCAAGCACCAAGTGTCCTGCTAGTCCAGCTCCCTCATGCCCCTTTGCATCCTACCTGTTTGTTTTGCTCTTACAGGAGATAGCAGATAGAGCTGGCCAGAAAATGTTCATCAAAACAGCCTTCCACTGGGAAATCAGACGTTGAGGAAATCTAAATTTTCCATGAAATTGTTCTTCCAAAGCAAAACCGACACATTTGAAAGATGGCCAAGTATCACTTCAGTCATCCCTGAATAGCTGCTCAGCTGTGAATTTTCATACACCCACTCTACCCATTGGCTATGTTCTGTGCTTTTTGGTCCAAAGACAATGATTTGGCTTCTAAGTGGTTTGTTAGCTGCCACTGGCCATGTCTCATTACTGCCAGGCTGTATACATTAGGCATTTTTATTTCTGTGCTGTGGCTGCTTCCAAGTCTCTCTCACCAACACTGCTCTGGTTGCAATGCTTTCTCTTCCATATGACTTTATTGGCGTTCAAGGCATTGCTATGGCATATAACGTCCTATGAACGTCTCAGTACAGTGGCTCATTACTTGCGATTTGCAGTCGTTTAGCTGCCTGCTGTTAGAGGCATCTACTGACTATATCTTATATATACTGGACAGTATCTTGGTGCTCTTCCAGCTTCAGCCAGGAACAGGAGTCTGTCCTGTGTGCTTTCTGCAACTTCCATTCCCTGCTGTCTTTGAATGTGTA